GCTTGGGAATTTGATATTTCAAAGTGGAATTTGAGGGGCCAAATGGACTCCGATTTTGGTAATTATGATATGTATAGACTCGTGGCGAGATAAGGAATCCGGTGATGTTAATTTGTTGATTTTTCGAGAAGTGGGCCCGGGACTCGGGTTTTGTCAACTTCGTGAATTTTGATGTTTTTCGAGTCTTTTCGATTGAGTTATATTCCCTTAGCCTATTGTAACGTATTCGTTGTGGTTTTGGCCAGATTCGACGCACGAGGAGGTTGATTTGCGAGGAGAGGGCATAGCGATCTAGGAGTTTGGCCGGCTTGAGGTGAGTAATGGTTATAAACGATGTCCTGAGGGTTTGAAAACCCGGATTTGCACAACGTAGTGCTATGTTGAGGTGAGACACACGTTGCATGTCGAGCGTGGGGTCCATTACTGCTGGGGATTTGGACTTGGTCTATCCCGATTGATGATTCTACTGTATTTTTGACGGAGGCTTAATTAATATCATTATAGTTTGGGCTAGTAGCCATGTTTGAGGCCTTGTGCCGATCTGTAGAACCCGTAGGGGCATTTGTGCTGATTGACCTCACTTTACTTGTTAAAAATCACACCCTCAGTCATGTTTCTAACTGTTTAATATAATATGAACTGGCTTTGAAATGGCTAAACCAAAATGAGAGTAATATTAGGGCTGGAATCCCTATCTTATCTTAGTATGCCAGAGGGGCGAAGTTTATATTGACTGAGAGGGGTTGAGAACCCAATAGTGAGGATGATTGATATATTATGTGGATCGGGCTGCACGCCGCAGCAGTATACTTATATGGATCGGGCTGCACGCCGCAGCAGTATACTTATATGGATCGGGCTGCACGCCGCAGCAGTATATTATGTGGATCGGGCTGCACGCCGCAGCAGTATAGCGCTTGGGCTGTAGGAGCCCCTCCGGAGTCTGCACACCCCCAGTGAGCGCAGTTGACTATTATTATTGGATCGGGCTACACGCCGTAACAGTATATTTATATATATATATTATAGATCGGGCTGCACGCCGCAGCAGTATATTTATACGGATCGGGCTGCACGCCGCAGCGGTATACTATGATTTCGGTTATTGTGAGAAATAAATGAGTTGGGTACTGGCTTAAAGGATTTTTCCTGGCTTCTTCATTTAGTTGATGTTTAAATGTTCTTACTGCTTGATATAGAACTGCTTTGTGCTCTTTACGAGATTTCTTTCCGTCAGTCATTATTTATTGCTATTACTCACTGAGTCGGAGTACTCACATTACTCTCTGCACCATGTGTGCAGATACAGGTATTCCGGAGGCGTAGATTGGGCTGTCTCTACTGTTCAGATCTCACCGGAGTCATCGAGGTTGCTGCATGGCGTCCGCAGACCCGATTTCTCCCTCTATCCTCTTTACTTTCAGTATTTTAGACTATCTTTTGTTTAGGCTGTTTCTCAGACTTGTATTAGAGGCTCTTAACTCGTGACACCAGATCGGTGGGCTTGTAGTGATGTTATTACGTTCTTTCCGCGCATTGTATCCACTGTTTTAGACTTGTGTTTTATGTTAATTTGGTATTTGAACCCTGTTAATTGGTAACGAACTCTATGTGAGGGATTGAGAGTGGTGAAATGGTCGGGCTTGCCTAGCATTGTGTTGGGCGCCATCACTTTTCGGGGTTGGGGTTGTGACATTAACCCTATCAAACCAATGAACTAAATGAATTAGTTAGTCAATTCAGTTGAAGAACACAATAGGAATGTTAGATAGCCCATAACCCTGGATCGTTTTCATTACTTTGATAATATAAAAATCTAATCTTCCTTTGTTCAGAGTTCATTATTTATTTTCTTTTTAGTTTAATTGTTTTATCATCACTACTTTTGGAAATTCTTGTTTAGATAATTGGGATAATTTAATTTAGTTAATAGTTGATGACAAGTCCTCGTGGGTTCGACACTCTATCTTATCACTTTATTACTTGACGACTGCGTATACTTGCGTGTGCGTTTGGTCGTAATAGTACAATTAAAGCATGGCGCGAGTCTAAGTCTACCCACACATAAACAGGAATTCTAGCATACGCACGGACACTCGTCACCTCATACGTGCGTAGCTCCCACAATATGTAGCACATAACAAATATAATACTTGTGAGGTAAATTTCCCCCTCACAAGGTTAGATAGTAGATTTACCTCGCTCCGAAGTTCCATAACAAGCTCTGACGCCTCTCTAACACCCCAAAGTGATGCCCATCGATCCGAAACTAGTCAAACAACATGCAAACCAATAAAACTATACTCCAATACTCATAATTTATCAATTCATAACAATTCCCAACTCTGCTTAAAAAGTCAACAAAGTCAACCATCGGGTCCACGTGCCCGGATTCCAAAAAATTTCGAAGATAAACGTTATGCATGATACCATGAACTCAAATATATAATTTATTCCTCATTCCACGTCCAATTTTGTGGTCAAAATCTAATATCATTTCTAGGTTTTCTTCCAGAAATTCAATAATTTCTATCAAATTTCCATGTTAAAATTCATATATAACCCATGTATTTAACTTGAAACAAGTAGGAATAACTTACCTTATAATATATGGCAAAAACGATCTTCAAGAATCACCCAAAATTGGCCCACATGGGCTCCAAGAACTTAAAAGTGATGAAATGAGCTCAAAATCTCAAAATTAGATGTTTAATACACCTGCCAGGCCTCCTTCTTCACGATCGCGGTCAATATCCACGCGATCATGATTAAAAAAAGTTTAAGAATCATTTCCTTCTTCGGGATCGCGAAAAAAACCTCGAGATCTCGATGTACAAATTTTGTTTCCTCTTCATAGACACCCTTTGGTACAATGGCCATAACTTTTTGTAAGAAATTTCAAATAACAAATGTTTTGATAATCTGAAATATAGATTCAAAGGGCTACAACTTTCATTTTTGGATCATTCTCAAATTCCTTATATTATGCAAGATACAAGCTCCCAAAGTCAGACCACTGACAAGAGAGATTCCTTCTATGCGATCGCGAGTTTCCTTCCGCGATCGCGATTCACAAGGCCCGGAACAACACTTTGCTCTTCGCGATCGCGGTCCTTTCTTCGCGAGCGTGAAGAAAGATGCACCAGATCTCAAAAACAAAAGCTTAAACATGGCGAAATGTCCCGTAGCCCATCCAAACACACTCGAGGCCCCCGTCCAATCATACCAACCATTACAAAAATATGATGCAAACTTTCTCGAGGCCTCAAATCATACCAAACAACATCCAAACTACGAATCGATCAAAACCCTTCTTTCAACTTTCAAACTTCGCCGAACGCGTCCGAATTACATTTAACATTTCGGAATGATGCCAAATTTCACGTACAAGTCACAAATAACAATACCAATCTATTCCAAGGCTCGGAATCCCAAACAAACATCGATAACACCAAACTCCACTTCAAATCAAACTTAGGAAATTCTAAAACCTTCAAAATGCCAACTTTCCACAATATGCTTCGAAATACTTCTTGGACCACCCGATACTCAACCCGAATATACGCCCAAGTCCGAAATCATCGTACAAACCTATTGGAACCTTCAAATCTCGATTCCGAGGTCGTTTACTCAAAAGTCAAACCTTGGTCAACTCTTCCAACTTAAAGCTTCCGAATTGAGAATTTCCCATCTGAATCAACCTCGAACTTCCCGAAATGCAATTTCGACTACGCATACAACTCATTAAACATGAAGTCATGCTACTCAAAGTCTCAAACCGCCGAACGACGCACTAGAGCTCAAAACGGTCGGTCGGGTCGTTACAATAACTATATTAGTATTGTATTAGGTATTAATATATTAGATACAAATGTGATACAAATATGATACATTTATGGTTTAGGTATCGATGTATCAAATACAATTTTGTATAATTATGATACAATTATCATACAATTCCTGCAACATCTTCTTTTTTGAGTTTCAATCTAATTTTCACCTAAAACTAACTCTATACTTAACCAATCTCCCTCAAAATTGAGATATACAAAGGATATTGTCAATCACTTGCAAGAACACCCATTTCAAATAAATCACAAAATCATAAAACCCGAATATCAAATTCAAAGATTAAAAGATTTTTAATTTAATGTTTAGCAATCATATTAATTTAAATTAACCAACTGCTTATTTTTCTCATTAATCAAATGTAGTACATGAAACCTTATGTGTGTTGATGAGTGTCAAATATTATGTTCGATTTTCGTCGTAGGTGTAATAACCTGAAATATATTTATATACTAATTAAATGTGAGATTTAGGAATTAATTTTATTGTAGTTATTGTGTCAAATATTAAGCTTGTGGAAGGAAATATATTACTATACAAGATATGGTACTAAATAAGTAGTTAGTGGCTAATTTTTTAATTATAGTTGACTTTGATTATTTATTAAATGAATAAGAGTAGGCTAAACCCATTCTCTTATGAGAAATCTCACTTTATACCTATTAAGCGCAAACTATTTACTTTTTAATACCCATGTCCAAACTATTTACTATTCCTACCCATGCGGCCTAATTTATTTATGCGGCCCACATATTTCACCCGGCCCAATCTACCCACTGTCTTTAAAGTCTTATCTTCGTTCTTTACACTAGACTAAAGAATCCAGCCCACCTATTTCACCCGGCCCAAGCTACTTGTTTTTCCTTTAATAATAGTAGTATAGTACAGTATCTTGAAAATACATTATAGCTGCATACCTTTTTGCTTTTTCTCTTTATTCCTATCTGTTATGTCATAGTAGTATAGTCATTTATAGTTACCGAAAATTAGCCAGTAGAATTGTATACCCTGCTGGTATAGTTATATGCCGTGTTGATATCATATGGTAGTTATAATATTTTTTGTTGGTTTAGTTGAATTTTTAAGTGAATTCTATTTCTGAAATTATTTTATATGAACGTGTTTTGAAGTGTTGGGATTTCCTTGTGCCTATGGACTTAGATTATAAACCAAAGGTTGATTGGGATACCAACTGCCATGTTATTCGTCAATTGAAAGAGAATTTATCAAAGAGGCAACTTCGGCTGTTTAAGAAAATATGCTTTGGCTATTTTTTGAATCTGCCACTAGTTATTGTGCAGATTCAGGTTATGCACCATTTTCTTATTAGAGAAGTACATCATGAGGTGCAAAAGGAGATGTGTTTTGTAGTGAATGATTCTAGGTTGTGCTTTGGTTTGGGTGAATTTGCACTTGTTACTGGCCTGAAATTTAAGGGTGATACACGTATAGAGAGCATAGCAGAGAATAGGTTAATTTCAAAATATTTTGGGGCTGCATCCGTGACATTGGCCCAATTAGCAGACTGTTTTACGAAGAAGAAATGGGAAACAGATGATGATGCGTTGAAGATAGCAGTTCTTTATTTTGTGAGCAGCTTCTTACTTTCTCAACTCAAAACAAAGGTTATTTCACGGTCTTATATTGACTTGGTTGAGTGCGGTGATTTAAATAATTATCCCTGGGGTATAGATGTTTATAACGCTACAATCGACTCGTGTTCCAACAAGTTTCAAGATAAGCCTTCTTTTTATAGACTCGGTAGCTTCCCGTTGGCTTTACAGATTTGGTTGTATCAATGCTGCCCAAGTTTGGATGGTCACTTTGCTGATCATATTGGAAACAAACTTCCACGAATTTTGAATTGGGTAGTCATGGGTCAAATACCGAATGAGCGAGTTACTTTGCGAATGTCTAGCTTGCAAAGCGAGAAGGTAATTTCCCCATAGTTTTATTGCCTCTCTTAATGTTTTGGTACAGGAGTTTAGTCACGGGTAGTTGTAGCAATATCCCAGATTAATGATATTCTCTGTTGGTATACATGTATACCATATTGGTATCATATAGTAATATGGATCATTTCTTCTACTTATACTTTTATTGCTACTTATACTTTTAATTTTCTCATTCTTTTATTGCATCTTTTAATATTTTTTTGTACAGTATTTTAGTCATGGGTAGTTGTAGCAATATTCCAGATCAATGATATTCTCTGTTGGTATACATGTATACCATATTAGTATCGTATGGTAATAGGGATCTTTTCTTCTACTTATATTTTTATTGGTACTTATACTTTTAAATTTCTCATACTTTATCGTATCTTTTAATATTTTTGGTACAGTAGTTTAGTCAAAGTTAGTTGTAGCAATATCCTAGATCAGTGATATACTCTGTTGGTATACATGTATACTATATTGATATCATATGGTAATAGGGATATTTTATCTTTCCATACTTTATTATCATTTCTATTTCTAACTAGTGTGTTTAATAATTGCAGCTAAAGAATATCACCCCAACTGATGATGAGAAGCAACTATTTGATGTGCGTGGTCTAAACTTTGAAATTGAAGTTGAGTGCACTGACAGACAGCCCGATAGCTTTCAGGTTTTTGGCACTCAATTTCCAAAGACACAAAGTATGCATGAAAGTACTGGAGGTAATTCCCAACCTACCAATGCTGAGGTAATGAAGGAGTTACAAGGTTTGAAGCTTTTTCTAGAGAACAAGTTTGAGGAGGTGCTTGCAGCTATTGGTAGGCAGTCAATGAAATCAGAGGGAAATTCAGCGGTATTGATTTTTTATATAATATAATGCTATAGTATATTGATCAAAGATGCAATATATGCTTATATGATACTATTCCATTCCTTACTTTTAGTGCACATAGTATTTTTGTAATATATATAATAATAAAATTGTTAGTTTCTCATTTTCAGCATAAGCAACAGGATAATGATCCTAACTTTCGTGAGATGCATAATGACTATGACCAGTTTGAAAGGGGCCATGTTGGGAATGATCATGTAGTTATTGGAGATAGCACGCCCAAAGCGCCTTCTAGTATGTAAATCACACATTTGATTTTTTTTGCTGTTATTTTTTGAAAATAGTACTCTTGCTTATACTTTTATATGTTTAGTGTCTGGTTTTGGTGGAGTTGGTCCAGATGGAGGTGCCACTGCTGTCAATGTGAAGAACGTCACAGCAAGTCATGGCGTAGTTAATGATGATTTGCATTCTGGTAACATGTTGTATATGTAATTTTTTTATTGTTCTTTTATTTATTTAACTCTATGTATTTGTGCGTTCACTAACCTTTTTTTTAAAATTTTTTTCAGCACCCTTCGTAAATGAGCATGATTTTGGCTTGGATTCTAACTTTGAACTGTCTGCATCTACAATTGATCAAATCACCGCCATTACACAACAAGCAACATATAAGCAGTCATCTCATGATATTAAAAAGTCGGGACTTGCTCCGCTGCCATCAGGAATTCCTGTACATACACGAGCAGATGTTGTTATTGAGTCTAATACTGCTCCACAGGATACGATGTTGATGTTACTAATTCTGTAGTTAGTATGTAAATGAGAGGTTTTTCATAGTTTTTTTTATTTAAGTAGTGATGCTGATAATGCTTTTATGTGTTCAGCATCTCGGGTTGATGGTGTTGGTCAAGTGGATGTTGGTGGCAGTACTGTGAATTTGCCTTCTGGTAATGTCTTCTATTCATTTTTTTTTTAAATTTCTTAACTTTGTATATTTGTTTATTCACTAGCATTTTTTAAGCTCCATATCGACATGGGGGTAATCTTCACTTGGATTCTGATTTTGAATATACTGATTCTCAACTTGATCTAATTGCTGCCATTACACAAGGAGGGAGACGTAGTGTAAATCAATCTGAAAATGAACTGACAACTCGTGATGTTAATAAGTCTAAACCTGATCAGTCAGTATCAAGAAGTATTGTCCAGACACAAACAGATGTTGAAACAACTCCTGCAATTTTTACACGGAGAAGGCGCCCTGCAGCTGCAAAACAGTCGCCGTATATGAATGACTGGCAATCTGGTGTTAGTGCAGTTGAGGGATCCTCGAAAGTTATCAAAGGAAGATTTCAATTTGTAAATGACATTTCAGTGGCTGTCGATTATAAGCTTACGACTGCATTCTCAAACCTTGTCGAAGCAAACATGCAATTGGGAGAGTGCGTATTCGTTTCCATGTACTTTTCTTTTCATATTTTCTTAATTTTTGTTGTTATATTTCTTATCCATATCTTTTTTATACGAAATAGGGAAGTGTATTTACCTGGTGATCAAAAGCTGGACCCTTGTTTTGATTTTGAAGTTGAACAGATTGATGATAAGACATTTTTCCATACCTTAAACTATTCTGGCAGGCCGCTGTCTAGTTCGGTATGTGTACTGCTTTTTATTTTTGTTGTTGTAGTAGTTCATTCATATTGTTAGTGTTAGTCATCTTTTCTTCCTCTTTTTTTTGCAGCACTTGAATATTATATTCTACTATCTTAGGAAGAAGACGAAATATGGAATTAATATGCCAATCAAAGTCACAACTACAGATACTCTTTTTAATAATATCATTCAAAGGGTTTTCACAAATTTGTAAAAGGTGGGAAACAAGATCATTTGATTGATAGATCAGACGATATCATGGAGTACATGAAAGGATTTAGGATATATTGCAACACTCCATGGCACCAGGTTGATCATGTCCACTTTCCAATTAATTTGGCAGAAAAGTTGCATTGGATATTGAGGTGTGTATCATTCCACAAGAGATGTTTTTACGTATATGACTCGCTACGTAGTCGAAAGCACAAAAAAGCTATTCAAAAGGTGGCAGAGGCATATGCTGTGTTGATCCCCCTGTTTCTAGTTAGCATTGAATTTTATAACCAAAGAAGTGACATTGTAGTACAAAACGGTATGCACATGGGAAAGGAGTTGACTGATCCTTTTGAGATTGAACTGATTACAAATCTGCCAACACAGCAAAATTCGTAAGAATAGTTACTTTTTTTTACATTTTTTTCCTCATTCATATTAACATTTTTCACTTCTATTCGATTCTTATATTCTATTCATTTGTTTTATTTTAGAGATTGTGGAGTATATGTTACATGCTTTGCTGGAGTATATTGTTGAAGATCTTCCAATTCCTGTTGCCAATTTTGATGTGGATGGTCTTCGAGCTAGGTTTGGTATACTGTTGTGGCACTATGGGAGGAACAAGCAGTTGCATGGCGAATCAAGTGAATCTGACGCTCCAGTAGCACCTAAAAAGACTCGTGGAAAGAAACGCAATAAGTAGTATAGGTCTCTTTTTGGTTTTAGTTAATCGTAGCATGAAAACTTTGCAGGATTTTAATAGTTTTTGGTGAAGTATGGTATTTTGCATTATTAGATTGTAAAAATGCTAGCTTTTAAAAGTGTTTTCTATGAATACAATTGTAATAGTATAATATGTTGCTATAACTGTTTTAATAATGGAATGTATCTTTATTTTGTTTTATTAGGCTTTTCTTAGGCTTCTTCTATAAAGTTGTTGGTTTATTAGGAGTGCCTTTCGGAGACAGAATTTTGTTAGCACTTGAAGTCAAGACGTTAGTGTACAACATGGCTGTTACAGCAGCACTGTTAGTTCCTACTCCTACTGCCATTTGTAGTAGGAGGAGCATTGTTAGTTCGTTGTAATATACCATCAGAAGTTGTTTTTGGAGGTGTATTTTTAAGGGAGTTACGACGTTCAAAAAGAGGAACTATGTTGTTATTTTGTAGAAGAACAGGGCGATCATTGATTTGAATGAGAAGAAATATTTTTAGAAAGTGAACTGGTTTTGAAATTATATTGAGAGTAGTTGTTAGTTGTAGTTAAATCTAAGAAAATCTGTGCATAATTTTCATTGCTGCACCAGTTGTATTCTGCAAAGATTTTGGTTTAGGTATATTAGTGTAGTAGAACTATATACCAATCAGGTATACTGATATAACATTTGGGTATCTGTTGTATTTGAGTACCTTTTTTTCCTGCAGCAACTAGATGTAAGTACTGACATTAGTTGCAAAGCGTGCGCATTTTGGGTATCACGTTGTATTTGGTGCACCATTTGTATTTCTTCGCATATTTTGGTTTAGCCATATTAGTGCAATACAACTATATACCAGTAAGGTATACAAATATACCATTTTGGGTATCACCTTGTATTTATGTACCTGATGATGTACAATAACTGCATGTAAAGCTTCCAATTTGTTATACTTCAATACAGACATGAGCTGCAAAGAGTCCCCATTTTGTTAACGAAGTATGTACAAATATTGCATTTGCGGCACCACTTCTATTTCTACACATATTTTGATACCAATAAGGTATAAAGATATACCAATAAGGTATACAGATATACCACTTGGGTATCACATTTATATTTTAGCATCTTTTTTCCTGCAGCAACTAGAAGTAAATGCATTCCACTTTTATATACTAAAATAGAAAATAAACAGATTCTTATTGAAAACACAAGTAGCCATATAAATTTGTTGCCAAAAAGTAATTTGGCAAAGAATCATCATACCAAATATATGTCTAGTGCAAGAAATGCATTTTATTTATTTGCAATTCAAATGATATTATTCTACGATATATGAGTTCTATAAGAATATTGAAGCATTATATCAATCTCCCTTTGGAATATTTCGGCATGTTCTCCGGTTGTGTCCTTTTCTACCGCATAGTGCACATGTAACTGTATTTCCTTCCCAGCCTCCTATGCCTCTTTTCTTTTTAGGTCTTCCTGGTTTGATTTTTCCTTTTGGTGGCAGTACCACCTGCGAAGAGACATGTTCTGGAATTTGCCACGTTGTTTCATCTAGCAAAAGATTTACTGGTATCTCATGTGTTTTTAGCAAGTAGTCTATGCTGTAGTAATCCGAGCAATACTTGTATGAATCCATATTAAATTTTTGTATAACTGCCATTGCATGTGGACATGGAATATCGTCTAGCTGAAACCTCCCACAAGTGCAGTTTTTTTCATGTAGGCGCACCACATTTCTTGTTTGGCCGTCAATTACTAAATGTAAGAATTGAGTTGATGGCAACACCTAGTATAATTTTAATTAAGAAAAGTCATTAGCTATATGAAGTAATAGTATTTTTTAAATAACAATATTCAGTTGTTTAGGGAAATCACTAAGGTAAAAAAGTAAAACTACAGTACATGAAGTGTTTTTATGATTTTGAAAATGCATACCATCATCGTCTGTGACAAGATAGTATTATCTGTCAATATTTTTTCATACTTTGCACCAATCTTCATAAATGATTCCACTGCATCCTTCCAATTGGTGTAATTCCATTTTTGAATCAATGTTGTCATAAAGTCAAGCAAATTCACAAATGGGAGGTCTCTTGCGTGCTTGTTTGCTGCATTTACTGATTCCGCAATATTCGATGTCATGGTCATGGTTCTATTTGCTTTGGAATGCACCCGGGACCATTTATCATATCCAATATGAATCAGGTATGTTTTCACTCTACTATCAATAGCTTCTAACTCTGCCATATGCCTGTTGAATTCTTCAACAGTGTATGCTCTTGCTAACGCAAAGTATACTTCTTTGATTTGTTTTTGGCTCTTCCTAATGTTTGTCTTTATGTTGTTGCATAGATGGAACTTACATGCACAATGAGGGACTTCTGGATAGACTATTGAAGTTGCTCCCCATATACCATCATGCCTGTCTGATACGATGCACATTCCCTCTCTTTGTCCATGATTTCTCTGAACTGCATGAAGAACTTCTCCCACGATGCATCATTTTCCGAATCAACAATTGCATATGCGAGGGGTAGAATTTGTCTTGTAAACCCAAAGAACAAAATATCAATTACAACAAACAATATTAATTTAGCATTTCATATAGTAGTACATTCATAGATATGTGCAGGTATGTAGCAAAATAACTATATACTCTGTTGGTATACTTATATACCATACTAGTATCATGCAATATTTGACAATCTTTTTTGTTTCTTTAACTGAATGTAATTGGATTGTACACACAATATTAATTTAGTATTTCATATAGTAGTATAGTCATAGGTAGGTGCAGGTATGTAGCAAAATAATTATATACTCTGTTGGTATACTTGTATACCATACTGGTATCATATGATATTTGACAATCTTTTTTGTTTCTTTAACTGAATGTAATTGGATTGTATTCTTACCCTTTGCGTCTTGCGTGGAAGCTGTGAGTATGGTCCCTCTATATGTTGACTTTAAAAAACTTCCATCAACTACAACTATTGGCCTACAATAGATCCATCCTCTAATCGATGCATATATAGCTATGAATGCATACAAGAAGCTCCCATCTTCTTCAGTGTGTAGTCGTGTCACTGATCCCGGGTTAGCGTACTCTAACATATAAAGATATGTTGGTATTTTCTTGTATGACTCACTTGGTGTTCCTCTCAACAATTGCATTGCTTTTTCTTTTGATCTCCACGCTTGCATGTAGCTTAAGTCCATACCATATGCTTTTTGGATGTCTCTTTGGATATCTGTTGGTGTATATATGGTTTTCGGGTCAACAAGTTTATCTTGTACCACAACTGCAACAAAAGCTGAGACAACTTGCTTTTGTGAACAAAATCTCTTATCATTTAAACAACTGTGGACAGAATTGAAATCCGTCACTTTGAAAAGATTTGATGCTCGCATGCTTGATGCTTTAAGTCTCCAAGTGCATCTTTCATCCACGCATTCAAGGATATACCTGTTTATAATGCAAATACAGTTATGTATCATGTTTTATTGATAAAAAATACACACAAAAATCCGTACAATTATATACTCACATAGTATACTCATATAGCACACCTATATACTGTATCAGTATCATATTTTACTGATAAAAAACATAGACAAAGCAGACAATTCTATACTCACATAGTATACTGATTTAGCATACATATATACTATATTATTATTATATTTTACTGATAATAACAAAGACAAACCAATACAATTATATACTCGCATAGTATACTGATATAACATACTGATACATAGACAAACCAATACAATTCCATACTCGCATAGTATACTGATTTAGCATACTTATATACTATATAGGTATCACATAGTTTTTTACTTTTAAACTAATGCAGACTAACCTTCTTGGGTCATGATTTATTAACCCGTACTATTAGACATTTT